CAGGCTGTTTCGAACCGACTGTATTTTACGCGACAGAAGAGAGTCGGCCGCGGGGGAGAACAGAGATAGGAAGAATAAAGGGGATAAAGGGAGCGGTGGGTGGGTAGGGAGAGAAATGCCGATAAACGAGTCTCGGCGCGCGCGGTCGGACGAGCAGTCGTGTAACCGAAACAAGGAAAAGGAGGAAAGGAGACGAGAAGAAGCTGATCGCACGGTGGTGTGTGACTCACTTGCCATAAAACGGGCGGCAGCAGTCGTATCCCTCCGCGCCTCGGGCCCAACCCCCGGCGTATCGTCGAGGGTTTGCATTGACGACGGAATCGACCCCTCCTAGTGTCTCGTGACGACTACTACTACACTATTTCTACCACACTTTCGCCCATCTCTTGTCTATTCATGTTGGGAAACACACAATCTCTCTCTCACTCTCTTTCCCCTTTTTGCGAGACGAGAATTGTGTCCCGGAAAATTGGGACATTGACTTCTACAAACAGCGATCCGGAGCAAAAAAGATTAGAGTTTCGAGCGAGAAGTGAGATATGACCCACATGGAGAATTTCTCGGGGTCTAATTGGGACTCACGAGGAAAGGGCCTCAGCTGTTTCATCGTTTTCGATTCAAACTCCACGCAGAAATGTTGTGGGTGAAGTCAGTAACATATTCTGTAAGTTAAGCCCTTATCTTTGAGTAAAAAAAAAAAAGAAAATGGCAGTATAATAATCTTCTCATGCAGGATGTCCCAAAAATCTGGAAACGGTCGAATAATATTTCATAAACAATGCGTTTTAGAAAAAAAATATTTCAGGCAACATTTACGATCCTGTAATCGTTGCGGGCATTCGGCAATAGAGACTGATGAGACTTCACGTGTCACGTGCACGAGGCCAAAAATGTGCAGACCGGTAGTTCTGGAGGCGGGCGAGAGTAACAAGGTTACGAAAGCGTGCCGTAATGAATGCCAACGAGTCGGGGAATATTGTTTCATCCCTCTCTCTCTCTGCTTCTCGCCGGCTCTATCGGGTTTACTCTCTTAATTTATTTGTAGAACGCGAGCTCTTGCTACCCCTCCTCCTCTTTCTGTTCCGTCGCTTCCTCATCCCAATCTTCTTATAATCCGGCGAATCTCACTTAAAAACGCATTTATACACGGATTGGGTGCGCGCGAGTGCCCCTCTCTCTCTCTCTCTCTCTCTCTTCCTCTCTGTCTTTCCTCTTCCCTCGTGCGCATTGCGTGTGTGGTTTGCAGGGATGAAAGGTGGAAAAAGACAAAAGGGAGAAAAAATCAAAGCGAAGGGAAGGACGGAGCATTAACGTACGAGAAGTCGCTCCCGGGGCGAGCCGCATTGATCGTTATAAAACACAGCGATGCATTCGCCGCGCGATAAATTATCGCTCGTTAACGAATCGATGTTATATTCCCTGCCCTCTTCCCGCTCTGTCTGCCGTTGCCACCGAACCCCGCGCGATAATTAACGACGTAGAGGCAATTATTATTTCGCGGGCGAGGAGGGGGGGGGTAGCGGTCGATTATAAATCACGTTGCCGTTCCCCGATCTCAGCGTCGTCCGTTCGCGGGGTCAGAGATTTGTACAAATTAATTATCGGCCTTTTTAAATGAAAAACTAACGTTTATTTATACAAACTCAGAATATACTTTAATCGACAAAGTAATCTCCTAAAGTTGGCGATAAAAACTTTCTGCTTAAATAAACGTAACGATTGATTTAATATTAAGGCCGAGAATTAATTTGTACATCTAATGTATCGAAACGCTCGGCGCGTGACTTGTTAACGACGTTAAAACAGTCGGCGACAGTGATCGCCCGTGGTAGAATCCGAACCCTGAAGAGACATTTCGTTTCGGATCTCAGCCGTGGTAAGAGCGGGTCGTCGATGGATATCGCTGTCCGCAAGATTGAACGACAACGACGACGAGGGAAAAAAGAAGAAGAAGAAATCCGCGTTGTGTGAGTAACCACTAATTTTCTCATCACTATATAACTTTTTCTGGTATGTGAACGATCGAGTATTCAGCTGTCTGCCCACTCTTTCCTTATTAAAGAGAGAGAAAGCTACACGACACCTATTGTCCGTTTCTTTCTATTTAATCTTCAGTTCTCGCGTCTCGTGCTCGGTCTATTCTTACTATGTCTATGGTAAAAACAGAGAACATTCTCTTCTCGCTGTCTTCCCTCCCTTCCATCTTCTCTCTCTCTCTCTTTCTGTATGTCTCTCGATGAGATCTAATTTAAATGTCTGTCGCAAAAACGACGTACATTTCCAGATTTCGTAACTCCATTGGGGGCGTGAGAAATCAAATTAGACATTCCACGAAACGCGAACGGTCGCTTGACAATTTGCAAATATTCTCGCGATATTAATTCTCGCGAGAAAGAGGAGAGNGGGGGGGGGGGAGAGAGAGAGAGAGAGAGATATGTTTCGCTCACCTATCGATGTATCCATCGCCGTCGCCGTCGCATGCTTGAAAAAGCCTCCGGACACGTTCCTCGTCGCAAATGGAGCCCGTCTCGCTTTCGGCATCCGCGGTCTGTGACATCTTTCCTCTCACATCTGGAGCACGCGCCCAGCCATCGTCGTCCGCAACGAACGATCCCAACCAGACCTGTTCTCTGCAACCAGCAATGATTATGTCGTTGTAGTTATCTCGTCGTCGTCGTTGCGCAGGTATGATGTGTCATACAGGTGTGTAATATATATGGTAAAAGAGGAAAAGCTGCGACACGCAACGACACGTAAAGATAACGATCGTAATCACACGTTGTACCAAATAGGACTACAGCGGTGATAATATTCTATTGACGATAATCGCCCCCCTCCCTTCCTCATGTCGCATGTTAATCGAATTTCAATCTCGCAATCCAGAGAGAGAGAGAGAGAGAGAGACGTTGCCTTTCGGCCGCCGCGTGTCGCACGCAAGACGAGAAGTCTTCAGATGTGCGCGGAGGAAATTAGCCGCTTCCCGCCGTGTAGAAAATGATCCCCGAAACTATTATCTAAATTAAACATCAGGATCAAAATCAAATCAAACAATTAAATATTGCGACTGATCTCGAAGCGAACCAGACATCATGATTATCTTTCGATGATGGGTTCAGCGAGCATCGCACGGATTATCCGGTTTCAATTATATAAATTGGAATCAAAATATTGTCGCGCAAAAATGATATAAATAAATAAATAGTCAGATATAAATATTAAAAAATAAATAGCTAGGTGAAATCACAAGTTTGTAATAAATTTATATAAATTATTATTGATATAAATGTATATACGTGTATATATAATATTTATTTATTGACGAGAAAAATAAGTCGCTTTAGTACACGAGCGTCGATATAAAAGCAAATTATACACACAAAAAAGAGAGAATTATATAAATTATATAATGGGTATATATATATATATATGCGAATATATAACCAAATATAAATCATAATTGCATAACACACACACACCATACTCACCTCACGATACTTGGGTTGACCCGGTACGAGCGAGAAAGTGGATAGCCGGAGAGACGACGATCGCGCGAACTCGGGGAATCGCTCTCAATCGGAAACGGCGGCGTGGCCGCACGAGGAGTGCGGGATTCGCGTCGACGATGGACGCGTCGGCCGGCGCCGAGAGGCGCGTTCCGGACTCATGGCACGTTATTCATCGTCCCTGGAGATCGGGAAGAAAGGTAACCGAAAGAACAGCGCTGGGCTGCCGTCGCACGTTCGCGCGTCACGCGACCCGGCCTCGTGTCATCGGCGCGTTCTCCCGTTTCTCAGGATTCCGTTGGCGCTTTCCCTCCCACCCCTCCCGCCCGTCGCCCTTTCCTCAACCTCCACGGCGGAATCCGCCTCAACGCGCGCCGTAAGATTCGCCGTCGCTATTTTTAGACACGCGCGCGGCGCGGATGCCACCCGCCGTGCTACTCTCTCCCTCTCTCTCACTATCCGTTATATCGTTATAGCGCACGATATAAACAGAGATCCTCCCCCCCCTACTCTCTCTCTCTCTATCTCTCGTGTGCAAGCGACAACGACCGCGAGGAGACGCGAGGACGAACTCTCACCTCCGTCGTCGGCCGATTATCGTGTCACCGTGTAGGTGAGAAAAAACACGCGAGCGAGAGAGAGAGAGAGAGAGAAAACAATACGCGTTCTCGGGAGAGCTGAAGAGACACGCACGCACAAAAACTCTCACTGTCGCCGCCGAGTGTCACCGAGTCACTAACCCTAACCTCAAAACCGGACCCAAGCGAGACTCTCACCCTGCTCGCCTACCGCACTGATAAAAACTATCGATTGAGCCGGCCGCGGTCGAAAAACCCCGACCGGGCGAGCGCACCGCCATCTCGCGCCTCGTGGTCGCGTTAGTTGATTGGGGTTCATTAACGGAAGCAGATAAGTGTGTGAGCGCGATCGAGAACGCACAACAGTCGGTACATGATCTATTGCGCAACTCGAACAATGGCTTTCTGTATTCGGTAGAACGCTTATTTTGCAACTGTGGGAACTTTTTTTAACCCTTTCGCGGCGAACAGCGCCTTTAGGCGCTCAGCTATAGATGCTCATTCTCAGCGAACAGCGCCGTTCGGCGCTCAGGCAAATTTACCCGCGGTGAACGAACAGCGCCAGATGGCGCCCATCCGGAGCCGCTCTCTTCGTACGAAGGCGCTGTTCGTTTGTTATCAACAACTGCCATTAATGTCCATTAAGTTGTTTTTGACGTGCTAGCAGCATACGCTTCTTGTGCAAAGGTTTTTTTTACATAGTCAAATATTATATACACACTGCGTTCGGAACGACTCGCGTATTTGGTCCGCGCGGTCGATCTGGCATCGGCTGCTTAGAGCGCGACTCTTTCCAGAGCACTCCGCCGCGAAAGGGTTAAACTACAATTAAATTATTATTTTACATGCGGAAGAATAATCCAATTTTAGCACAAATAACTTAGAACAATTGTAAAATAAACGTTTTGCTAAATGCAGATAATGTCGTATATGTTATATTATTGTAAAATCTTGTCACATATATATATATATATATATATGTGTACATACATACAATTGTACACATGGACAACGTATGATATTGGATACGATACAGTGCAATATGTTACCTTTTTATTGATTACGTTATCCTAAAGGTGTACCAGGCTTTTAAGTAAACTGTTCGAACGCGGTCTGGCAACGACCCAACATTTATAAAAAATCGCGGCATTAGTCGTCAGCCGGCTTCAGCTTCCCGCTTAAAGTGGGTAAGAGTTTCTTCAGCTTCGCAACGTCGTGGCTGAAGGCCCACATGATGCATCGCGTGTGCTCCACCGTGGGCAGGCCTCGAAATTCAGAGTCCGTGTCGAACCACTGTATGTGATTCTCTTTGATGCGATCCACCAGCTCCCGCAGCTTCTCGTTCCTCTTGACGTCCCATGTGACGTCCGATTCGGGAACTTGGACGGATCTGAGTTTCTTGTAATCGCCTTTAGCCTCCTCGTATACTCTGTCAAAGTCAGAACAGACATGACGTGAAAATATTTCAGCGGTTACTCAGCCGTCAAAGAGGCGGGAAATGATTATTTCAATTATTATTTTCCCACGTATGTTATAAAAGTATTTTTATTTGCAAGGTTGGGAAGTTTTTATCGCTGCAATATTACGTGGATTATTTGCGAAGAAAACTGGACTTACTTGAGGAAGCCGTTGTCCTCGATGCCGTATCGTTCGGCGAGCGGTTCGAAGGCCCGCACAACGTCGATCGCGAGGTAACCGAAGTTCTCCCTCGACCGGCCGTTCACGTTATAATCGGTAACCCAGTTCTCGAGGACTTCCACAGCCTCCCTCATGTTCCTGATCTTCTGCTCGTCTTTCGTGCACGAGATTACGCGTTCGGCTCTCTTCACCAGACCGCTGATCGCGTGAAACTGGTACGATACGTCCCGACCCTTCAGGGACTCGATGCTCTGCAGAGCCTTCTGCTTGTTCTTGAAGCCCAGCGTGTTCTCAGCTTTTTCGTTCTGTTGCTGGTTCTCCTCCGTTCGCTTCGCGATCTTCTTCTCCGGCTGGCCGTTCTCACTGTCGCTGTCGCTGTCGCTGCTCGACGAGCTGTCGTGAACTCTTTTCGAGCCTCTCTCTCTTGGTTCCGCTTTATCAACGTCCATGTCGTCGTCCTCGCTGTCGTCTCTGCCGAATTTCTCGCGCACTTGACTCATCAGCTTCTTCAACTTCGTCGGGTCGGGGCTGTACGCGAGCACGATGCATCGCACGTGCTCCTTCGTCGGCAGACCCCTGAAATCACCCACGTCCGTCTCGAACCATTGGATGTTTTCGTTCCTGACCTTGCCGATGATGTCTTTTAGCCGCCTGTTCCTCTCGACGTCCCACGTAGTGTCCTCTTCGGGCGTCTTCGCGGCGCGCAAGCCTTTGTAGTCGCCCTTCTCGCGCTTGTACGCTCTGAAAATCGGACTAATCAATGAGGTGGCAAAACGGAGGGCCGATGTACGAGGAGAGCACAGAAACGTCTCAATTTTTCTCTAGGTAAATTATCTTCTCTTACTTGAAAAACTCATCGTCCCACACGTCGTACTTCTTCGCGAGGCAGCGAAAGGCCTCGATCGTCTCGATCGGTAGATACGCGAGGTTCTCCTTCCCCCGATTTTTCTTCTTGTAATCCGCCAGCCAGTCCTCGAAGATCTTCAAGGCTTCTCGCAGATTCGCCAGTTTCTCTTCGTCCCGCGTGATCTGTATCGTCCTTTTCGCGCGACCGATGAAAGTCAACACCACGTGATACTGATAGCTGATGTCGCGGCCGTCCAAGGACTTCAGCATGTTCAGCGCTTTCTGCTTATCCTTGAAGCCCATGGGAGATTCCTCCTGCTTCGCGGTTTTCGTCTTCATCATCTCGAACCTACGTCGAGAACAATTATTTCAAGATTTAAGTGTGCAATCCGTCAGATCCGTAGACTTTATCATAAGTCATATCTTAGAATATTAGAAATCGAATTTAAAAATAATATTTGAAAAATATATATGTAATATTATTAGAAAACGTCCAAAAAAGTCAATACTTCTAAACGTTAATTTAACGTTCCTCCCTTATCGGGCAGTTGTCATCTGTTAATTTTTCATATATTATTTGTGCTATTTCTCTAAGTTACGGAATAGTCGCTGTGACTGTCCTCGTTTAATGGCATCAGAAGCGAGAAAACGCGTGCCAAAAATTTTTACGCCATACTTTTAAAGAAAAAGATATATTCACAAGATAGTATTTGTCAGCAATTCCGCAAAAACTTGTAAAATTGGGCGAATACTTTTCTTTTGCTCGAACAATAAATAAGTAGTCGTAAAATTAATTGACGAAATCATGAGGAAAGAGGCTGAAAAAGGAGATTCCGTGTCAAATTAATTTTGTGGCCATTTATCGATCGTTCGAGTGAAGAGAAAATGTCCGTCTAATTTTATAAGCGTGCTGAATCGATCACAAATGCCATTTTATGGATGTATCATTTTATTCGAAGGTATATAACGCAAAAAATCTTGGAAAGCGATCGTGCGAAAGGGAATACACTTACCGATCTCTGCACAAAGTCTCAACGTCGGCTGAAACAATCGATCACCGAATTTCAGGCAACTCGGAAAGATCAAACGCACTCAACGACGTTGTCGACGACCGCGTATCATCACTCTCGTGTATGCACGCACGCACGAATATCTCGGTGGTCAGGTACGCGCGCTCGCCTTAGCTCGTTAAAGTTTCCGGTAGTTCTCGAATCGCAAGACCTACCTGAGTGCTGACACTTCGCGGTGAAGTCACCGCTCGATCGCCGCTACTTCAAGCGCTGACAACAAGACGTTCGTCGTATCGGGGGAAGAGCAAAGCCGGCGGTGGCGTAAGCGAGGGAAAGCGAGAACCCGATATAAACATATTCGACGCGTATGTGTCAGAGCCCGAAATACACGGCTTTCGCGGCCGCTTGCGTCACGCTCGCTCTTGTTGAACGCATCGAGGTGAGGATTACGCATTTTCGTGACTTAACGTTTGTTGCTTTTTCGGGAAGTCGCCTGCTGTATTATACGCAGTGCTTGCCGGTATCTAGATAAAATTATCTGAATAATCGTTCGGATGAATAAATAGATCGTCTTTACTAGCGAACAACTTTTCATCCCTTTTAAGATGAAACGTCGCATTAAACTAAAGAAAGAGAGAGAGAGAGAGAGAGAGATTGACTTGACAAATACAATACCAAGTTATCGTGAAAACCAATGACGCAATAACTCGTTATCCTATTGATAAAGAGAGACAGAGTGTGTGTGTGTGTGTGTGTGATTTATTTAATATTTATAAAATAAATATTACAGCCGTGAGAGATAAACTACTAGGACACGCGCATACAGTGTAACGATCTAAGATAAAGGCCCGAGGCGCGACGGAAGGATCGAAGTCTCGGGACAACAATGGGCGAAGCTTGCAAAGCTGACCCGACGTCCCTGACGTAGATATACAGTTCGGCACGCGCGATAAAACGAACGGTGCTATATACAAGATGCAAGATCGTCCGAACGGAGTTCTCGGTGTGAATCACATCCTTCCCCATACAGCACAATATTGCAGATACATTGCAGCGATATTGTTCGGCGAGATTGCGTTACGCAGCGATGTTACCGCTTCCTTTTCCCCGTCGTCGTGGATCAACAAGATCGGATGGACAGTCCCATTCGATGCACGAACGACGATGTTGTCTTAACAGACGCAGCTGCCGACACCCAGGCACGCGTACGGCGCCTGCTCGATCTTGGAGCTCGCTGTGCCGTCTAATAGCGAGGATTGCGCGGGCGTCGTCGGTAACTGCGACCTCTGCACGACACTCTCGTAAGATATCGACGTGGGCTCCCGGTCGGTACTCTCTGCGTCTTGGACACTGTATCCCGAGTCTCTCGTCGCCGCCGTTGGAGGGGGCGGTTCTTGGCCCGCCTTCGAGTCGAGAGTGGGTTCGTGCGACGACAATCGACTGTAGTTGAGGAAGGTCTCCGTGTAGCTGGCGGACGGGTGATGATGATGGTGGTGGTGGTTGCCGGCGTATTGATGCGAATAATGGGGGTGGTATCTGCTCTGCGGCGTCTTGAAGCCTTCGTTACCGCCGAGGTACTGATGCAGATGGTGGAGGCTCGACGGCCCGTAAACTGCGAATAAGAGACAACGAATTGATGACTCCCGGCCGGAGAGGATCGATCGTTGTAGGCGACGTTCAAGACTAACCGGCGGCGGTGTTCGAGTACATGGCGAAGACCGCGTCGCTGTAGCCGGCGGCGGGATGCTTCATCAAATCCGGCACTTCGTTCCCGCCCGTACCTTTCCCGGGCACCGTGTGACTTCGTACCATACCGCTCGGAACCTCACCGGCGGTAATCCCGGCGGAGGACGCACCGGTGCCGTACGCCATATTGAAAAGCGCTTCCGGATCGCAAACGAACTTGTACACGTATCGTTCGCCAGCGACCTTCTGCATTATGCCTTTCTCGTAGTAGTATCTCAACGAGCGGCTCAGTTTGTCGTAATTCATCGCCGGCCGGTTCTTCTGAACGCCCCATCTGCGCGCAACCTGCAACAAAGGTTGAATTCAATGGTAAAAATTATTCTTATTTCCTTTCATTCATCGATCCAATTTCATCGTCCAGTTATTTCATTTTAATATTAAAATATTAATTTCATTAATTAAATTAATACGTTTGGGTGTAATTTCATTCCGTATGTTCTCTCGCTCATTAGCTAATTAAAAGAAATGACTGGGAATTTCAGGGGGGGCTGCAGCCCGGCTACGCCACTGATTCAGGAGCTTCTTCTTCACGAACCTCTTCCGGCTCGATGAGCTTGAACTCCATGCCGCGACCGGTCCACGCGATGCAGGGCGCGTTCGCCGGATCGTCCAGCAGAGCCACTAAGAACTGCCAGAGTTGCAGGGAGCCGCGTCGCTGTTGCTGATAGCCCACCGACATGTCGCTCCAAGTGGGAACGCCACCGGTCGCCGAGGACGGCCTCTTGCCAATGTGATCCGCGTTCCAGGTGGACCCGGGCGAGCCTTTCTTCTGGTAACATCCATTCTGTCGGTCCCAGGAGGGATTTCGCGGGTCCAACTGCGCGCCCAATTCCGCCCAGGTCGGCGTGCCGCTTCGTTTCGAAGAAGCGTAAACCTCGGAATTCCAGTTCTCCTGCCGCGGCAGAAACGTCTCGGATGAGAAGGTCGACTGCCACTGAGAGGTCGAGGAAGACGCGCTCGCTGGCCGGCTGGATGACGGCGAGGATCCCCGAGGGTCCTTCGTCACGCTGCCGTACTGTTGCTGCTGACGATAGATCAGGCCGCTCGCTGGAAGAAAATCGCAGCTTCGTGCAATTCTCAGGATAGAAAACACGAACGCGGTCAACGGCCAACGGTTGAGTGAGTCGATTTTTCAAATCTATTAGGTATACCAATTAATTCGGTGTCTTTATTTACAAAATGTCTCAAGTTTAATGTTCAATATAATTTCCATCATTTTCCATGATTTTACTCCATCTATCGGGCAGCTGATGAATGCCCACGTGGAATAAACTTGGCTGTTTTAATTCAATGCTTTTTTGGACCTCGTCAGCTGTTTTAAAATCCGCCGGATGATGTTGTAGCGACCGAAATAGGTGGTAATCCGACGGTGCTGGATCTGACGAATAAGCATGAAGGAGAATTTCCTATGTATAGATGAAAATATAATTGTGAAATGTCGCTGTAACAAGGTAGCGATGACGAGGAGGCGGAGAAGCGTCGGATTATCTTCGACGGCAGCGAGAGAAGAGAAAGGGAAGCGTAGTAGAGAGCACCACGAGAGAAAGAGAGATGGTAAGAGAAATCCTCGGGAGAACGAAGAAGAAAAGAGTAAGAGGAAGAAAAAAGTAGAGGCGCGCGCTTTCGCATTACCGATTGCACTCACGCGCCGGCTCGGTTGAAGCGCGCTCGTCACACAAATATCGGCAGGAAATTGGTGGATATTCAAAGCCCACCGGGGGCTGCCGCCGCCGCCGCTGGCTGAAGCTCGCGGCGTAGCGCGCGGCGATGTTGCCCCCTTGAAATATCGAAGCCGAGAGGGAGCTCGCGATATGTATATTAATCGGGCGAGAGAGAGAGAGAGAGAGAGCACGCTTCTCTCTCTCCTCTTCCTCCATACTACGCGGTATACTCTCGTTCCTCCACTTTTCTTCTTTCGCTCTCTTAGGGGAGGGGGCGGCGGCTACATCGACGACGCTGTTGCTCTCCGCCGCCGGTTGCTGTCGCAGCACCCCCCTCCCCTTCCTCCCCCACCCCCAGGCCGCGCCTCGACGTCGCTAGCACCGAAAGAGCCATTCTCGGCTGGCGTAATCCGGTTACGCGCTCCAAGTCGCGCACGGGGAATATTGAAAAATTGAGAAGCCACCGCCGCCGCGTGCGCGCTGCGTCGCGCGCGTTTATGTGTGGGTGCGTGTATGTATCAGCGACGAGAGAGAGAGAGAGAGAGAGAGTGCGATAACCGTTGCATCGTTGCGCAACGACGACGTATGTACGTCGCGTTGTTGCTGCAATTTGCTGCTCTTGGAGCGATGCGGCCGAGAGAGCGCGCGTTATCGGAAGCGCCGCGACGACGCACCGGCTCTTTCCGGCGACGCATCCGCGAAAACGATTTCCAGAGGATCTCGGAAGGAGAGGAGAGGATAGGTGGGTCGCGCGGGTGCGTCTTTAAAGATTCAGCCGTTAACGTCGAGGACGAGTATCCGCGCGCGAGCGACGAGCTTTCGGGTCGAGAGCTCCGGCGATTTTTCTTTTCTTTTTTTCCTTCTTTTCAGCGAGAGAGATGCGAAGAGACAGCGGTTTTATCTCGTCGGGGATTGACGGTACGACCGCATCTACGTGAACCTGGCGGCCGACTCTTGGGGAAATAATTCTTGAAGGCAGCGAAAATGTTAATATCGAGAACGGTGTGAAATTCCAAGCGATATGAAGTCTCGAAGTACAGTTTGGAGAGCCAAAAATGCTGCCCGGCGCGAGCAGAGGTAAAATTTTAAGGGCGAGAACGGAGAAGAGCCCGCGCGCGCTCTGGAGTGTTTTTCGCGGAACTCGCGGAAAGTCAACCGCGTTCGTCTCCTCGCCTCACCTGCGTGCGTTTCGGCGAACGTAGGTCGTCGGATCTCGGACAGACGGGGGATCGGAAGGGAAGCTGAAAGCTCCGGGCCAATCTGGCACTCTCTCGAAAAGCGGCGAGGAAGGGGGAGTCGACGGGGCCGAGAGGTGGGCGCGGGGGACGGCGAAAGGGGTTGACCTCAGCCGTTGCGAGCGAGAGAGCGCGCGGGGGTTCAGAGGCTTTGCGGGTGGTTTTAGATTAAAATTAATCGCGAGCTGATGAAACCGGTGGCGATGTACCACCAGCGTACGGCAGCAGGACGAGCAGGTGGAGGAGGAGGAGGAAGAGGAGGTCGGAGAAGGGTTGAATTCAGGGGACTGGTCAGGGGCGGCGAAGAGTGGTGGTCGGGGAATGACGGCCGAGCTCGTACGGAAAAGAGGATGGCTTCCACTCTCGTCCACTCTCAGACGAGAGAAACGCGTTCGCTCGCCTGCCTGCCTGTCTACTCGCTCTCCTCCCTTCCGTCCCCGACCTTTCACCCTTTCTCACTCTCTCTCTCTCTCTCTCTCTCTCTCTCGCCCGCTCTTTCTCTCGCTCTCCCGCTCGCTTTTTCTCCTCTCTTGCCCGCTGATCCTCGAATTCCGGCATAGTGCTCCGTTAATAATGCAAGCTCTATTTTCTACCCGCCTGACTGACAAGCGGCGAAATCTCCGACGAGCTTCGCCTTGTCCTTTCTCAAACGAGCGGGAAATTCTTCCTTTTCCACTTTATTCGTGTTGTCGATTGTCGCTCGCTCGCGCCCGCGTGTAGTCTTATTTTTCCTTCGCCGAAACACTTATTCCGGTACGTGCAAAGGTTGGAGCGAAGGAAATACATACGAGGGCAGATTGAAAAGTTCCCGACTTGATCGAGAAAGAGCGAGAGTGAAATTTCAATATTTGTTCGATAGATAACACTGAAAGAAATACAAAGAACTAAATTTGATGTCGTTGTAGCTATTAGTTTGTTTCCGACAGCCTTTTGTGTGACAGTTTGTCAACAACGAAGAAATTGGGGTATCGCGCCGTGATAAAATTCCTTCATTTGAAAGTGGCGGAACGATTATTTTCGACGAGGAACGCTGTAGACGAGCAAAAACCGCAATAACCAATGAAATGATTGATTATGTTCACCGAATTGTGATAGACGATCGTCGATTAATTTTGAGAGAGATAGCAGAGGCTGCCGGTATCTCATACGAACGGATGCACAACATTTTGCATGAAGAATTAGGTATGAGCGCTTCGCGGCGTGAATCTTTCCTCCGGCGAGGAATTAAATTTTTTTCAAGCGTGCGTTTAGGAGAATTCAGCGACGAGCTCTTCGACCATCTCGCGGAGGGTCGAGCGTTGCGCAGATACCCGTTTTTTTTTTTTTTTCGTTTCGATTCATTGCATGACGAAAAGACGCGGAGAAAGCGCGAGCGAGCTTTCGTTCGGCGAATTTTCCGCGTCCATCGGTAGGCAGACGGTCGACGGCAGCGGAACGCGCACCGTCGCGACCTGTAATCCTCGTAATCCTCTGCTCGTATTAATTAGTGGAACTGCGGGGGCCACCAATCGGTATCCATTAACTGGTTATTACTATTCCGCCCGTGTATCGTATCGCTCGCCGAATTGTTTGTCCCCCGTATAAACGAGATGATCCCGAATATTTTATATCCTCCGGACATTTTTGCCCGTCGTACACCGCGAGGAACGTTTTTATACGCGATTTTTACGCTCTCTTACTTTCTCTCTCTCTCTCTCTCTTTCTCTTTCTCGTTACATATTCCAGCGGCGTGATGAAGCTGAGCCGCGTCTCGAATTCGCGCGTTCTTGCGCTCGGCGCTTCGACGAGCAGAGTCGCGGAAACGAAAAATGCTCGAGTCATTTTAAATGTTGAAATGTCGAAACACACCAGATCTTTTCTTTTCTCTCTCTCTCTCTCTCTCTCTTCTCCCGGCTGACAAATTGGATGATCGTAAGTAGATTGCGGGATATCGATACGGGGCGAGATAGGGAAATGTATCGTATTATTAACCTAAACTAGGTGTGAATAATTAAAACGGCTTAATGGTAGGGAGAATTACGCGAAGAGAAGCATGAGCATAATCCCAGGTGACTTGGTAGTAGGCGGGTGGAGAGGCACATCGCGCGTAGTACAGTGTCGAGTCGGTGGTTGGTATATATAGAGCCGGCCGAGTTCCTAAAGGATTTGCCGCGTACGCTCTCCGTGTGTATGTGCATGCGTGTGTGTGTGCGTGAATAAAGGAAGACTAATCGGTTTGATTACAAAGCATGAGCTTGCAACCCCTGTCGAGCGACTCTACCTTTTGTGGATGGCCCGGGCCAGGCAGAGACGGGACGGGCGGGACGCGCGGCTGGCCTGCCGCTGACGGTGCTGCGTATTTTCGCAGTGGCCTATTAGATAATGACCATCATCGACGCGGAAGAACCAGTTCGCGATTGTTCCCGTGGAAACATTGTCCGGTCGACTCGACTCCGTATCGTCGCACAGTGCGGGCCGAACGCGACGTTTTTCGGCCATTCGCTTGGAATTTCCATATTTTTCAGTGGAATGTGATTTGAAGTTTCATACAAGTGATGTATGATCAGTGTACTTTCAGTGCATTGGACCGAAATTGGACCTGTAATTTGCTGTTGTCAATGAAACATAAATGATTAACTTTTTGAACTCACTCATACGTGTCATATTAGTTTAAGGATATTACTGAAAATCAAGTTGACCTTGATTTTTCTGTATTTTTTCTTGAAAAATATATATTGGTTGTTGCTCATTTTAATAAGATGCGGTTTTACTCACTCGCTTATTTACGTTAAAACAATATATTTTTAATATTTGCGTGAAAAATAATGTGTAATGAATAAAGTGTTAAAACGTTAAAGCTCTCAATTAATGATCCAAATATATTCTTCAATAGATTAGAACATAAAGAAAACATACCGAAACTAGAGTTTTTACAATTTTCATTTTTCTTCCAATATCCGGTTTTCAAGCATTTCGCCCTACTGTGCGCCGGTCGCTTTCCACCTCGCCTGTGTATTCATCGAGAAATTTCTAATATCGCTATTGCGTATTTAATAGATATTAATATGAATATATATTATCGATGTATTTAATAATGGAATAGAGTTATTGGTGTAATCGGTAAAAAGTCAAATGCATTATTATATTGTTTAAATGGAAATTTGTATTAATTTTCCTTCTAAACTTATTTGTTTACTAGATATATACATCTATTTGATTTATTTGATCTATTTGAATCTATTTGATTGATTACAGCGATTTTTTATTATACGTTCTTTTTGAAAACACCAATGATTGCACTGTATTCTTGCATATCTCACGATACGATGATCCTCCTCGTGGAACGGGCTGATCCGCAGTTACCGAGGATAAAATTCGCGCGGGCGAGAATCTTTCCGCTGCGCGGAATCTCTGAGCGCGCTTTTCGCGAATCAAGAGAAAAGCTTTCGACTTACATTCTCCCCCGGGGTCTGGTCTTTCTCTTTCGTTCTCTCTTTCGGTAGCTTTTCGTCGGAATCTACAAGACGCTCGCCCAGATAGCTTTCGACTTGAAAGCATCGTTTAATTATTCAATTACGCACGCTCAGTCACGCGTGATGCGGAGCGCGATGCATTAACCGTGAGCCTCGCTGCGTTCATAGGAAATGTCAGATTTCAGCCGCCGAGCGAGCTACTCGCGAAATTTCATGTAAAATATGATGACTCGGCAAACTCGGGATAAAAAGGGCGGCTTGAAGCGGGCCGATTCGACGTTATCGCCGAAGTGTAACTGCGAAAACTCCTCAAAGGGCTAATCGGCAGCCGGCTCGATTAATGGACAGAGTGATACTCTCTCTCGTGTATCCCCTCGTTATTTATGGACTCTGCGGGGTGGAATACGCGCCACGTGGATCCTTTTGTGCGGAGATTTGTCACGGTGTGGATGTACTGTCGTGCACGTTGGACAGAAGTCAGGAGAAGTCAGGAGAAGTCGTGAAAGTCTCTCTCTCTCTCTCTCCTCCCCTCTCCTCACACACACACACACACACTCTTTCTCTTTCTTACGTTTTCTTTCGAATTCGAGTTGAATCACTCTACTTTTCGTCAGTCTCGCTTACCGTTCTGCGTGTCCTGAGATGTCGTGGATGTTGATACGTTCGTGATGGGAAGCGGCTCTACGTAGCTCCGATCCGCCGGTTCCTCCTTCACAGCAACGTCCTTCGTGCTCTTACCAGACGACGAGGTTATCTTTCGATTCCTACGAGCAACACGCAGAATTTCTCGCTTCACGGGACTCCCAATAAACACCAACTGACAGTGATATGTTATAATTTCCCACTCGACAATATAAGTGCAACATAATATATATTGTGTATATAATAATATGTATATCGTCGAGTGGTAAATCATAATATTGTTGTAATGTTATTGTTAATGAATGTTTACTCTCGAGTGTGTCGAAATTTTTATGCTACTTTGACATCCTTAAAGATAATTCGCGTCTACTTATTGTTAAATGACCTATAAACTAATAAAAACTTACTTTGACTGACTTTCGTTAACTTTTCTCTCGAAACTTTTATTCTACAGCTTTGAATTTTAATGCTACCTTAAACAATTTATTTCGATGGTAAAACGGCGGAAATAATAATTTGAGACATCGTTAGAGTTAAAATCAAACCTATTTTGCTATCTGAACTCCTGCTGTGTTGTAAAATTAAAAGTTTAACATAGAGTGAAAATTTCGACCCGACTTGTGCTCTCGCGGATGAAAAATCATCCGCGATTGTTTCGTGACATCACGAATGGATGGATCGTTCGTTTTTGGACTTACCCGAAGCAACGGTCCGAGCTAAGTTCGAGAAAATCACCGTTTTGACTGTGCGTGACGGAGGACTGATACTGCGGGTGATAACTACCGTCGCCGTTTCTCGTGCAATTGCTCGACTCTTGCTTCACACTCGCACCTGTTTCGCAAACGAGGTTGATTATCAACACCTGTGTGCATTATTTCCCGAAATCCTGCGCAATTCACACGTATCTTTTATGTATTTTGAGATCGGGAGATGAAAGTTATGAAATTGAAAATAAAGAAGTCACTTGAATCGAACTTGCCGATTACGTTTTCTCTCGTGACTTTTATCCCTTAATTAATGAAGCGACGAAAAAATGAGGAAAATCTGCACGGAGAGAATTCTATAATAAATTGAACAATCGCACGACTGGGAAGACGAGTCTCGCGACATTTCTGCGGACCTCCTCTCTCTCTCTCTTTCTACGCGGTCGCATATCATCGCCGTTTATCGAATGCGGCGTACGCAACGATCGTTCTCTCCGGACAATTCACAAGCGGCAGGGCGCCAGAGGACATAACGGCGCGTGTCCTACCGGAAGTAAAGACGCATTGCTGCAGCGACACGTGAGGAAGGGACGGGAAAAGAGAGGAGAAGTGGGGTCTAATGGGGTGCCGACGATTTTGCGAGGGCGAGGGCTGCGCCCCCGATAAATCAAACATGCCCCGGCCGTGGGAAGCATAAGTCACGAGCCTCCGGCAATAATTGTATTTGTAAACATTGGAAGTTTACCGATATGAAAGAGCGACGATGGTGCGCGCGCCCGATAGATCCAATTATCTCGCAGCGCGTCCGCGATCTCGTATCATAATTATTCCCCACTATGAGCGCGAGAGCGACAGCTCTCCATCACCTGCCTGGTTCCATTGCTGGTAAAAGATATTTTTACAAGTTTTATCACAGTGCCTTCACCCAAAGAAAGGAACAAATCATTTCGATAGACTGAGCTGCATTTTTATTCAACTGGAATGCAAAAAGAATGCGATGCTACTTTCCGAATATCGTAATAAATACTGTTTTCCTCGGTTATAACGGCAAGGCCGTCAACTATTATAGTGTCCCTTAAAGCTTAAGGTCGGCACTTTCGAATCACCATAGGACGGGAAAGAAATTTAAATTTGAACCAGAGTTACAGGACATTAAATGCAAAGGCATCGAATGAATTTGTACACCTAATACTATAGTTCATAGTTCAGTGATAGTAATTCTTCTAGTTGGAACAATGAGGACATAGTTGGCGCCGAAAACAACCGTATAACTTTAGCCGGACACCATTATTTTTCTCTCGGTGTAAGTTTCCGTTTCAGGTTGATACATTTTACGTCGTGAGATAAAAGGAGAACGCATCCCCCCGTATCCGACAGCGCGTTTCACGCAACAGTGCGCAGGAAGCGCCGACACGCATCGACACGGTGTCTTCCTAAATACGTCGCGAGCTCTGTATAATATTACGCGAAGGATACGCGCGGCCTGGGAATCGCTTGCGTGCCTGCGTGAGCGAGTAAATGAGAGTGCGTACCTTCATATATGTACGCGCGCGCTCGTGTGTGTGTGCGCGCGGATGTGCATATAGACACTAGCCAGCCCTCCGATTCCCTCTGGCTGTTTGCCCGCCCAGTTGAAATGTTCGACGATACGTTTGTTTAACGTTCGACTCGCTGAATTACACACGTTACCCGTACGCGAATTTCCCTCGCTCACTTGCCCGCCCGTACGAGCGCGGAATAATGTAAACTGTGCGCTAAACCGAGCCAGAGAGAGAGAGAAGAGCTTGAATGTCGAGTCGGTGAAGTCAAATAGGGCGTTCGAATTTTTGCCTGTTTATTATAATAATGATCACGGAAATGGCGTGTTATCGATAGCGGCGGTTACGGCGACGATGACGTTAATAAGCGAACGCGGCGATTAAAGGGAGATAGAAAAAGAAGAAGAAGCGGAGGAGGAAGAAAAAGCAGCGAAACGCCGCTGGCTTAATATAAAGTGCTTACTCGCGTAATCCGATATCGATGATCGGCCGCGCTGGGCGAGGAGAGGAGTGCCGAAGAGCGTGCGCTCGTGTGTTGATTCTTTCCGTTCCTTCCCCCCCCCCCTCTCTCTCTCTCTCTCTCTTTCTCTACGCTGAAAAGAATTCTGCCCTGCGGGCCAAACTTCTCGCCGGTTTTTAATAAAGGACCGATATTGCACCGTCGCCGTCGTCGTTGCTGTCAGCAGGCCGCGGATTCGAAGCCGCGATTATTATTCAGCGGGGAAAAAATTGGCGGCGAGCCGCCATTGCGAAAAGCGGCAACACACTGCGCGCGCGCGCGCGCCGGTGTTTCGAATGCGTAAAAACAGGCCGCCGCAACGGCCGATAAAACCGCAACGCGTGCGCGGCGAAAGTGTCGACGGCTAATTAAACATGCAGGCCCGCGGCGTTTAACGTATTACTAATTGATCCGTCGATATACCGAGCGATTACACCGTTAACCCTTTAAGTCCCGGGAACGATTGACGTGTGTGTTGTTCGTGATCACGTTTATTCCGGCGAATCCGGCGAGTACCGGCTCCGTGCACGCACTGTGCGTTGCGCGTGAAAATGACGTGAAAAAAAATAATATTGCGTGAAAAAAAAATAATATCGCAACAAAAAATGTTTGGCACATAAATAAATTGGAGCGATATTGCAGTAACATCGCGGAAATATTACGCGTTACAATAAAATATTGCGGTAACATTGTTGCAATACGTCACATCCCAAATAGCCGAGTGACTTCAAATGAGATTTTAATTATTTCTTATTGATATCAGAGATGTTATATCGAGCAAATCTTATCTTCCGAAATTCAAACGGAGACATTGAGAAACGAAGTAATATAATATATACTTAAATGTTATTTAATAAAAAATGTTCTAAATGTTCCTAAGCATACGAAATTCTAAGAAATATTTTAATCATTCAATGTGGTTTGTTGGTCTTTTCACGGTAATTTGATATTATATTTGTTAAATATAATAAAAAACGAAGTCACATTGCTTATTTTTTTTTTTTAATGGGATACCCCGTTTTTGATTCCAGAATCTAACAGCTAGTGTCGAGAGCTTTTCAAAAGACACTATAATAAAGTTATTTTCCATTAAGTACTTTCCGAGTTGATACGTCGTGTCTTGGAAAGGAGAGAATATCTGAACGCTCAGACTCGCGACGGCGTGAGATAACAGACTTTCCGAGCAATCTCGGGCCCGAGGAGAAGCCAACCGGCGGCGCACGAAACACTTCCGCGTGCTGCACGATTCTCGCGGTGATTTCCGCGGAGATTGACATCCTTCGATCCCGTGCAGGTACCGGATTTATTTATCTAAGCGAATTATCTCTGACGTCGCGAATCGTGGCGCGCGGAATCTTTCCGCCGTGATGAACCGCGCGATTAATTGCAGTCCCGTTACCTTGGTAACGTGTATGTAAACGTGTCATCAGTCCCTTTTAACGACGGAAATCGACCACGACGAAAATAAAAAGAATTAAGAGAATCGAGAAAAATCAAACGAAATATTAACACAAGGGAATTATATCGACGATTTTGCACTGTGAGACGATTACACGTTACATTCTACGAATTAAACCGAGGAAAAAAATTGTTGGAATTTGTATGTAATAATAATAATAATAAGGACTGTATGAGTAAAGGGTTAATTCGTAAAATTAACAGTACGAAAGATCGAGTTCGAGTTTGCCGAGCTTTCACATTCGTCATCAATCTAAAAGAAAGAAAGAAAGAGAATCGATTTAGAAGAATACTGCGGTCACACTCACTCGACATCTGATGAAACTCGGGCACGTACTGTTCGCTGTCCTCAGTCTCGGAGCCGCTGCCTGCGCAGAAGATACAGTTAGAATGGCGACATTGCGAAGGACAAAATTGCGACGAGACGACGAAATAATTGAAAAGGAAAAAAAAAAGAGAAAATACATAAATCGTGAAAGTTCGATTTGAAGTTCCAGCGAAAATGCGGCCGTTTCTTGCAGCCTCGATGATAAAATCCGTGCCCTTCCCCTTTGATATCGTCCGTTACACACGTCCATCGCGTATTACATCGCGCGGTCGGGAAGAGCTAATTAAAATTAATGTCCCGAGCGAACAGTGGCCGCACGTAATTATCTCCTCGCCCTTTCCTTTCGGTAGCTTAGGAATAATTCCGCGCTTTACATCTCTGTAAAATCCGATGATCGATATCCCGGAATCTCGGCGAGCTTTAACAGAGCGTCTCAACTTTCAATCACTCCCGTTTGGCCAGCTGTCGTTGCAGTCTCGTAAAATCCCGCAGTTGACTGACAAAAATATCCGATAACTCGTCGTTCTTCATCATCTTCACGCCGATTTGTCAGCTGTTTAACTCACACGCGACTTCAACGGCGCGTAAAATTGCACGAAGAAGGAAAAGCTGCTTATCTGCTCTTTTTATTTTAAATCGCACTTTTCTATCGAGTCAACCTGAATATCTTGTTTCGCTTTAATCGACTCTAAATTTTAAATTATTAATAATATATTTAATATAAATATATATTACTGTAAATATATATGTGGTCACATTAGTTAAATATTGCAATACCGTAAAATAAAAGTAAACTATGCGATATCGTCGCAAAGTATATGAATTACTACGAATCGGTTGAGAAAAAAATTGAAAACTGTCCCGCAAAGTGTTCAATTCTATAGCATTTATTATGCCGTTTCTATCGGGAACTCGAAGAACTTCAGGTAGAATAAGGAAAAAAAGAAAAAAAAAATAAACGCCCGAACAGGGACTCGAACCCTGGACCCTCAGATTAAAAGTCTGATGCTCTACCGACTGAGCTATCCGGGCAGATGTTCTGGGTAGGATTAAGCACGCACTTGAACCGGGTTTGTGCAACGTGCGAGGATTAACGAAATTACCAGTGCTATACATAATCGAATCATCGTGATACACAGCGAGAATGAAATTTCAGATGGAAGACTCACCGTCTTGCAACCAGGTCTCCTGCCTGTAGCCGTGCGGCATGTATAATTCACTTCCTGCAATCACAATAATTCGTTGTATAGTTGTTACGCAGGGTCGGGAAAGTTATTTTTAAACACTCTATAAGCGCGTAATATTATTTTAATATTAAATAATATTCGGATCATATTCTTAGAATATTAGATGTAATATTCTAAGAAAATATGTTAGAATATTAGATGTAATATTCTTAGAATATTCTTAGAATATTACATCTAATATTCTAAGAAAATATGTAATATCACGCGCTTACAGGGATATCGCACCGGCCATTGTCGAGCGGGAAATTATGACATCGATGTGACGTTACTTGATATTAAGGGAGACGGAAGAGTTTTTCTTCGTCGAAATCACCGATCTGGACGATGAGAAGCGGAATCGATCTGAATCGGAATGAGCGGGATCCGAGCGAGGAGAAGACAAAAGGGACGAGGAGGAGATCTGAGCCGAGTGAATCAGAAGCAAAAACAAACCCTTCGGTGCGAATGGGCGCATATAAGAATGCCGCGGCGGCTAACGTTGGGGCGCGCATTTAATGGGCCTACCAGGATTCGCCACGGGTAGCCACTTGGCGATAACCTCGTTTCGTTTCCACGGCGGAGGATCCTGGGCCTGCGGCTGAATCGAATCTACTTACAGCACAGCTCATTGCTCGCGCACAACGATACTCCTTCCTTCTTTTTTCCTGCTCCTCGCCTTCAAGCCCTTTCGAGCAGGACGCTTCGCAGTAAGCAAGAAATCATGAACGCCGTTATTATAATGATATTTTCTAATGTTTTCAAATATATAGTTCTTAATTAGTTGCACATAATATTACTGTTGACAATATTTGACCGAAACATTAAAAATAATGTTTCTACACTATGATTTTAATATTATCAAATAACGGTTAAAAAATATTTATAAAATATTATGTCAAAATGTTCATAAAATCCACATAAATTCAATGTTTTAAAAGATTGATTTAATGTTTCCTGCTTGCTGGGTTGGAGAGTTCGCGGTGTCATCTCGGAGTGTCGCGTTAAGCTACATTCCGATTCGTCATCGTTCACGGCGGATTTACGATTCTCGAGCGACATCGATGGATATTGTCGCGTGCATTATCGTCTTTTTTTTTTTATAATTGTATATACAAGGTGTCCCAGACCACCCGTTTCACCCGATTTTTTCGTAAACGCGACATTTTAAAGAAAAATGTTTCAGACAAAAGTTTTGTGACTTCGAGGGGCACATAAGATGGTGTCATTAGTTTGACCTTGGACAGTCGTTTGAAGATCACGTGAAGGTCACCTTTAATTTCTTAAATGGAAACCCCCATTTTTCAATGCATATTCTTGTAGCTTACCTCGAGAGCTTTCCAAAACGCTATAATGAAACGTTTTTTTAATCAGTACTTTTCGAGTTATGAGGGTTGAAAGTTACGGTACCGCCGGCATTAGCATTACCCAAGGTGGAAGTTGCACGGTCGGATTTACACCTCTTTGTGTGTTTGTGTGTGTGAATGTGTGTGTGTCAACAGAGATAAGGACCCCACGGTT